ATATAGCAGACAGCTATCTGGCCAACTGACTGGAAGAGATCCATATCTGTACCCATTCCAAAGAAAGGTGATCCCACAGAATGTGGAAATTATCCAACAATATAATTAATGTCACACATAAGTAAAATCTTGCTGAGGGTAATTAAAAAATGGTTGCAGCTTTATATTGACAGCAAACTTCCACAAATGCAAGCTGGATTCATAAGAGGATGTGGAATGAGGTTTATCATTGCTGATGACATATGGATCTTGGCTGAAAGCAAAGAATACCAGAAAGATGTTTGCTTGTGTTTTTATTGACTATGCAACAGCATTTGACTGGGTGGATCATAAAAAAATATGGATAACATTAAGAAGAATGGGAATTCAAGGACAGTTGATTGTGCTCATGAGGAACTTGTACATAGACCAGGAAGCTGCCGTTCATACAGAAGAAGGGGATACTGCATGGTTTAAAATCAGGAAGGGAGTGCATCAGGGTTGCATCCTTTCACCATACTTATTCAATCTGTATACTGAACAAATAATCCAAGAAGCTGGATTATATGGAGAAGAACATGGCATCAGAATTTAAGTAAGACTCATTCACAACCTGTGATACGCAGAGGACACATTTTCCTTGCTGAAAATGATGATGACTGGAAGCACTTATTGATGAAGATTAAAAGACTACAGTCTGCATTATGGATTTCATCTCAAAATAAAGAAAACAAAAATCCTCACAATTGGACCAATAAGCAGCATCACAATAAATGAAGAAAAGATTGAAGCTGATAAAGATCCCATATTATTTGGTTCTACAATCAACACCAATGGAAGCAGCAGTCTAGACCTAAGATGACGTAATGCACTGGGAAAATCTGCACACAAAAAAAATCTCTTTAAATTGCTGAATAGCAAAAATGTCTCCTTGAAGACTAAGGTAGATCTGATACAAGCCATGGTATTTTCAATTGCTTCATATGCATGTGAAAGCTGGACAAGGAATAAGGAAGACCAAAGAAGAGTTAATGCTTTTGAGTTGTGGTGTTGGCGAAGAATGTTCAAAGGACCATAAGTGCCAAAAGAGTGAACAAGTCTGTCCTGGAAGAAGTGCAGCCAGAATGCTCCTTGGAAGCGAGATTGGCCAGACTTCGTCTCACATACTTTGGTCATGTTGTCAGAAGGTACCATTCCTTGAAGAAGGATATCTTGCTTAGTTAAGTGGAGGGTCAACAGAAAAGGGAAATGCTCTCAATGAGATGCATTGACATGGTGGCTGCAACAATGGGCTTAGGTGTGGCAAGGATTGTGAGGATGGTTCAAGACTGGGCAGTGTTTCATTTTGTTCATGGGGTCGCTATGAGTTGGAACCAACTTGACAGCACCTAAAATTGGTCAAGGAATAAGGAAGACTGCAGAAGAGTTGATATATTTGTATTGTAGTGTCAGTGATGAGTACTGCTAGAAGAATGAACAAATCTGTCTTAGAGGAAGTACAGCCATTTGTTGATTTGTTATCAGACTAGTTTTCTGAGAAGAACATTATCCTTGGTGAAGCAGACAATCATCAAAAAAGAGGATTATGGTGAAGAAGACAGGCTGATAGAATGGTTGCAATAATGGGCTGAAGCATAGCAACGATTGTGAGGATGGCTCAGGACTAGTTGGTGTTTCACTCTGTTTTATATGAGGTCTCCATGTCTCAAAAGCTTGACAGCACTTAACAACAGCAACAACAATATTTGCTACTAAGTAAAATCTTATCTTGAAAATAAAAATAGCAGTCTGCATGGTACATATCACTTTAGTGTGAAGACTTTTGAAGTAATGTATAGATCTACATTGTTGTGATTGATGTGTCAGACAACATAGAAAACTGAATGAGTGAGTTATTTAACCTATGTCTCTAAGTTTTATCACCTGTACTATGGGAATTAAAAGGGCAATTACTGCATAATGATCTTGGGAGTTTTAAGTGCATAGCTGTCTTCAATATGGTTACAACATTACTATGACTGAAATAGAATAATATGTATTTGTAATCATTTTTAGTAGTAGTAGTAGTAGTAGTAGTAGTAGTATCTATAGCTTGTACTTCAAATGATGAGATCATTTCTTTTTCATTTTAATATCCATATTGTATACTCAACATGTATGCATTAAACCGAATCTACTGATTATTTTTTATCTTTGTAACACCTAAAACTTCCATTCATTTGTCCTGCTGATAAAGCAAAGTATGATTTGATCTTCCATTCCTGCTCTTAAAAGTATTTTAAATGGAAAACAATTATTCTCAATGAGGTTTCCTGATGAATGTTAAAATGGAAAATGTTCAATAATGTGGACATAATGAAAATTGCTATGTTTTGAGAACCCCAGAGAGATATTCTACCTCAGATTCTAAAAACAGCTGTGTTCTTTCTAAAAAGTAGTCCTTTTCATTCTCCAAATGTGTGGCAAATTCTCTTGGCAAAACGTTTTATTTATGTAACCAAGGGAAGAATTCAAGGTTTCAAGTGTCCCTCACACTAAAGAGGTTAGTCTCAATATGATTCTATAACTGAGATATATAAGAAATTGTGGTCTCAGTAGCTGGATATGTTCTTCTGTGAAAAACAACAACAACAAAAAAAAGATTTCCTCTGAATTTCACACCCTCCTTCCCCCAATTCTAATGGAGGTATGAAAGTTTATTCAAAAACGTGTTCACTACATTTCTGAAAGACACCTTTAACATGGACCAACAGAAATAATTAAAGATAAAAACTGACAGAGAATGTATATTATTCAGGTGTTCTAATCTACTCTCATTTTTTGAGAGCAGGGAGTTTTAATATTTTAATCTCAAGTCTATGGATATTTTTAGGCATCAGTAAGTCACTTGAAATTGTATGCATAATTACATAAGTATGAGCATATGGTCATTTTTCTTAGAAAAGACTCTATACTTTTCATCCAGAACTTAACCTTGGATTAGACTCTGGCACTTAGGAATACAAAAACAAATAATATATATTTTTCTGCCCTATCATAGCACAAAAATTTCAGTATTTTTACTATAACTTGAGTTGTATTTTCTATAGTTAAAAAAGTTGTCATTAATAAAGTTGTTACATAGAAAACTGAAAGAGTGAGTTACTTAACCTATGTCTCCAACTTTTATCACCTGTACTATGGGAATCATAAGTGCAATAACCACATAATGATCTTGGGAGTTTTAAGTGCATACCTGTATGCACTTCAAAAAATCTTCCTCAGTTTCTCCCTCTTTCTCTACTCCAATCATCGTTTGGTAGTTAGAACAAGTGGAAGGAAAAAAAAAAAGTCAAACTACTAATAGTGGTTAGGTTAAGTGGACAAAGTTGGACATGATATTTATCTACTTTAAGAAAAAAAAGAGTCAGAATTTAGTGAGAATTTTATAAGCTATTTTAAAGTATAGAATGACAAGGAAAAAAAGAGACTTCAAGATCCAGGTTCTGGATCTAAGAGTGAGGGAAGAGTAGAAAGCACAAGGATGGCACAGCCATCTTTACTCTCCCTTACTTGGTTTAACCAGTCTTAGAACTGCAGGCGGGATCCTCAACTGGTGGAGGTGGCATGAATTGGGTGGACTTACTTGCATGCCATGGTGGGTAGAACAGGGTAGATTTTGTGTCTAGGTAACAGAAGAAGGAGGGATTTTAAATAGAAGACATGAACAATACTGTCCATAAACAGCAATATAGATATAAAATATACAAATATAAGTCTAGAATTATAAATAATGTGGGATTTATATGGCATTTTCTCAATAAACTAATCAAGATTTATTAATGAGTGTATCAAATTTTGCTAGCCTCTGCATATCTTGTGAAAATATGGTCATTGCCATCAAGTTGACTGAGACTCAAAGTAACCCCTCCTTGGGTTTCCAAGGCAGTATCACCAGGGAAGTAGATCACACAACCCTCCTTCCCAGGAGTGGTTGGTGGGTTTGAACCTTTAGCCTTTTGATTAGCAGTCAAATGCCTTAGGCACCACACCACCAGAATTCCCTATGTTATAGAGGTTGCCAAAAATATTTTTCTTAATATTTATTTATTCTTTTGTTTTGTTTT